CAATCTACTGTGTACACGCTGAACCTATGCATGTTTGAGTTCCATATAGAAACTACATGCTCACCAGTGACTGTGGGCATTTGAGCACATTTGTGCTGTAAAACCAAAGGAGGGTTAAACTAAAGTTGAAATTCCAAGGAAAGTTGTGGTTGAACATGTGAAATTTCCAACCACTTTCGCCAACCAAAGGGGTTTGTTTGGATCATGCTCAACTCAAAACGATTGTAGGATATGTGAAAATAGAGAAAAGCATTCAAATGGGAGTTCCCTACTTTACACAATACAAGATCTAATAGATTTTGAGTGAATCATGTTTTTGTTATTTTCATGAGACAGATGTCGTCACAAATCTATGACGTTCGCAAATTTATACCTCAGGGGGTGATTTGTCCAGATTTTTCTGGATTTCTGGAATTTCTCTGAGACTATCTGGAATTTCTGTGAGACTTTAGGATCTCCGTATTGTCATTGCTTTCAATATGTAATGCAAAGACTACAATATTTGGTGCGAAACTAAATGAAAGACTGGCACAAGTTAAGGTGTACAGCATGCACTTGTTAAAACATGGGGACCCAGGCCAGCAGTATGATCGTTGTGTGTATGTACATGATCTGTACCTACTGTACGGTCGCTGTGTGTGTATGTACGGTACTCCTGTTGTCGTTGCATTCACTGTGTGTGTACAACTTGCGTCCGTCTCCCATTGCGGTTTGTTTCATTCTTGAGGTGGTCTGATGTCGTCAACATCCATCAAAAATGTCATACAAAGTAGTAGGTAGGGAAGGGGATCTAAATGTAGACAAAGGATTACAGAATTCTTGGAAATTTTCCTGGCTGGAAACCGAGGTGGACAGAGATTTAACCAAGGGGAAATCCATATGTTATCGTGACTTTCTCGTGAAAATCGACAAACCTGGGTTTTTCAAGTGCACGTTGTGTCACAAGTAATTCACAAGTAATGCACTACTCATCTGTATGAGACAGTTTTCAGTTTTAATAAATTGTGATAGAATTTTGTGGATCACTGATAACTGCGTGTGTGTGTATTACACTTCTAGGTCTTTGATTGTCACCAATTATAGCTTACATGTATAATTGCAATTGAAGTGAATGAGGACAAGGGTTTTGTTGCTGTAAGTATTATAATTGTAACAGCTCTTGTGGTGGCTTACATGTCGTACCTGAATCTCCTCCTATAATCAATAAATATGCAGTGAATTGTAGGGAAGCTGTAGCCGATGCGACTTGCAAAACCCTCCGACAAATGTTTCGTGGAATTTTTCATTTTCCCTAAATCACACCCCTGATACATGTATTCGAAGAAATTTGGTACATGAATCAAGTCAACCTTCTTTCCCATGATAACGTGAATTGGCCCACATGGCCAAATGGGCAATTTTCCATCACTCTTTCCATTTGCAAACAACTTTTCAGTTAATAGTTTCCTGAATTCTTACCACAGGCTTCTCAGGAACATCTTGTGATGCATGGCTATCGTAAGCGTACGCACATGAACTGTACCTGTACACTTATCGTACGTGTACATGTACATACACATGTGCATGTAGATGCGCACTATGTATGCATGAGCTACATGTAGTGCTGCAGCCAAATCACTGAACTGAACCAAACTGAAATCATCAAATATGGCACTTCCGAACCAAACCAAGCTGGTCAGCATTTACAACATGGTACCAGTATTGATAGCACTCTAAATGCATGCAACAGGAGTAAAGAACAACGGAAACCAACATAAATAACAAGTTTAGTCCACTATGCTATTCCAGAATGTAAAGTGTATGATGTGCGCACTGTAAGTTCCAACGGCTACATGTACGTGTGTACATGTACATGTGTAGTACATGCACATGTATGTACACTTACAATGTATGATGGCCATGCTTGCAGTAAGAATTCATTGAAATATTGAGAACATGCAATGCACGGCATTACTTTTTGCATGACAGTGCCATATTCTCACTACATCCATTTTATTATTTTATCCATTTTTGCGTCAGATAATACTATGCTTGCCAATTGTCCTATAGCCATTCCCTTGCATTTTATATTAGGCCAGTGATGTCATAAGCGGCCACGCAAAACCCCTTTCAAATGAGCACCTCCCTTTTAATTGCTGGTGTTTATGACACTCAGTAATTGTGATGGTCCTTTGTAGAATCCTTTACTTTTAATGTCTGTGTGACATTTGTCATATAATAATGTACCGATACGTTGTCGTTATAAGTGTTTAAAAATGACAGACTAAGAACTAGCTTGTCAGACTGCAGGTCTAGTACCCTGACATTGGGAATCTTGGCAGTTGGGCCCAGAAAGTTCTACCGTACGAGTGGCGTTCCTTTTGCATTTAACCACTTGCGTATAGTACTGTTCCACAACAAATTTGTCCCATGCTCCCCTTTATTCCATTTGTTCCGTTAGTTTCAGCAGAAGATACCAACTTTTAAAGGACAAGAGACCACAGTGACAGTCCCTTAGTGGACACCATTAATGTTGGCCCTGGGAGTCATTTGTACAAGATTAGTGCAACATTTCTCACAGAATTAATGCTTTTTTAGACTCCCATTCAAGACAGTGTCACAGCATGATGTTTATTAGAACGCCTGGCTGTGGTGGAATGAGTGTAGTGAATACATCATTGGTTACTGCATGCATAACGTGCTAGGATGTGTTTAAATGTCACGTATCTAACACAGGAAGTTCCTGCATTCTCCATGTCCAACACAAAGTGGTTAATATGAAGAACTGTTATAAGCAGCAACCAAACATTGTTTCATCACTCCAGTGTCAACTTGTGTCCAACAGATTGTGTAACTGTAAACAAAACATGGACCATTTCAATTTGTAAACAGTGAAAACACAAGCGTTCGGAAGTTGGGAGAAGTGAAATCTGTTGCAGCTCTCGGGCAATACGCTGTTCATAAATATAAACAACTTGACTTTGGCACCTACTCCAACGTCAAGTCTGTCTCATGGTGCATATGGTTTCATAGCAAAAGTATGGTGTTACGTCTTGTATCACCGACAAGCGGTATCGCAGGAACCCTGTCTGCTACTGTACCTAGTAATAGTCGTGCTAGAAAAAACCTCAGAAATAAGGAGACAACCTTTCATGGACTAAAAATACCCAGATTTAACTTTGACTCAGACTAAGATGGTGTGGACTGTTGTTTATTTTG